TGACCTTGCTGCATTAGAGATTATTATGTAGAGCTCCAGGTTGCAGATTTGCCAAAATTGGACTCCATTTCAAATTCTCAGCAGTGGGTCTTTGCAGACCAAGCCTTTTAAAATGGATATCTGCCTCCCGTAGCCTTCATCTTTCTCAATCCTTCGGCGAAATTGGAGCCATTCTTCATTCAAATTGAGGACACTCCCCACTGCCATGAGTGTATAGCCCTGGATCATCGCTGAAAACTTAATGGACCGTGTCAGAGGAGAACAATTTAGTAATGGCCCACATAATTTTTGGACAATATAGGCGTGGCCACAAAACCGAGGCATTTGGGCGATGAAGGAGAGATGAAGAACCCTACCAGTAAAAAACCTCGGGTCAGTAAAAATGAATTATTTCCATGATGTAAAATCTCTATTCATATTTAGGTTGGATCAGATTTTATCATCAAGGCTCAAGTGAGACTTAAACAAGATCAAAGAATGATAAATTTACAAGGTTGTTTTAAAATCGGTGGGTCTGAAGAGCAAAATGGTAGTTTTGGAATAAATCGGCTCCCTAAAATTAAAAATGCGAGTTCAACTCAAGTTCAGACATTCTGTCGCTATTGGGCCTGATAAGCATCTCGACATTTAGTAAAAATATTTTTCTTTATTTATTTCACTGTAACGGTTTCATAAGGATTCGGTTTTGGGAAAGTGTTAGAAATCTTGGTGCAGATATATTTATTTAGAAAGACAAATTTCGCTTCCTTAATTTATGTGTTTAAGCTGTGTCGAATTATTTCAGACCCCGCAGTATCAGCATCCAGCTGTCATTTATTAAATGACTTCTTGTAGGCCAGTACTCCTGCGACTCGCGTGAAGTAAATGCAAATTTTAGTCAGATGAGATTTATAATGCTGGTTTCAAAATAGTTCCGTGTGGATGAAGTTCCTCGTCTGATCCTAATTACTACTTTCTTCTCACTTCAGTGCTGCTCAGCCATATCTATCTGCGTCCTATCCGGCTAGTAGAGTCTGAGGATCTACCGCGCCTTCACTTAGCCGGCACCTTCATACATGCACGGTGGACAGCTCCGTAACGAACCTATCCAGATGGTTCACGGCGGCTAGTGTCACTTCAGTTGTTAGTAGCATTGCTGGGGTACGCGAGACTGGGGTAGTTACCCAGTGGGCACGTCATTTTCAACCCATTTATTAAGGAGTCGTCGCTTATTGTCCCTCTGCAACACATGCCCTTCTTCCGTCACTTTAGGGTATAGCGTTAAGGAGTGGAAATGAGGATGGATATCCTTTGGGATCGGGTTCGCCTTCCCTTGTCACTAATGTAGCTCCCACCAGTTTTTTTCCGAGGACAAAGGAAGTCATAATAGTAGGGCAGACTATGTATTGCCAATGTGAGGGAGGCTAGGGGAGGGACTACTGGCTACTGGAATGGGTTGGAGGTCATGGCAACCAGCGGAAGTGCAAAGGCGGAGCCTTAAGTATCCGCGATCAAAACGAAGAGTGGATTTGCTAATCCATACATTACACTGCAGATCCCCAATAGATGACTGTATTCAACAGAGTACACGCCATCTAATGATTTGCTACTTTAAAGGCGTCTCAAAGGAGAGTGATATCTTCAAATATCAAATGACTTATGGTGCGGGTTTTCAAGCCTTAGGTGCCACGAGAATTGTCATATAACTACCTAAGAAAATTGAAAAGTAATCGAATATAGTCAGCTTTTTAAATTAGACTCTGTCAACTTTTGAAATGGAAAATTACAGAAAATAAGTACTTGATCCACTTAAAATTGGTTGTTAAATAATTTTACTTCCATAATTTTAAAAAAGGATGCTTATTAAGTGTGTTTAATAGAATCGTGTTAGGTAGAACTTCAAACTTGTTCTCATTTTGTTCGAATTTTCGTGCCTATCCGGGTTGCGTAGATGCTGTTGATAGTAAGACCGTAAACCCCAACTAACTACACTTCCATTCCTCCCTCACGACCCCATTTAAGATCAAGTACCGCCTTTCCAGGCAATTGAATCGCTACGAATTCAGAATAGTAACTGTGCAGGTAATTTGCTCTTGACTAATAACTTCCAATCTATGATGGTTCTAAACGTGATTTGGTGCTGATCGCATTAAAATTTTAGCTGCATTTTCGGGTCTTTTATTGGTGAACCGTGCAGTGGTTGCCACGGTGCCCGATTTCTCTACCGCTTTAATATAATTTCGCTTCTAATTGCATGCTCAATTTATTTTGCTTCCGGCCTGCCAAGTTCTTTATTTTTACCTTGTCATCCCACTTCTGGCTTTGCATTTCTCGTAGTTTGTACTACTGTCCCGTTTGGGGCATTACAACTGCTAGCGCAAAGTTTCTAAATTTCGCAGTAGATTCCTATCAAGTCGAACACTTAGGCGTCCACAAGAGAGATTGTGATTTGTCCAAGACGTGCATACGGAAGGCAGATCCTCTAATTTCACTCCCGTGCGAAATCATGGAGAAAATTCTACTGACTCATGGGCGGCCAGCGAGCGTCTAAGCAGTTGAACGAGGTAAATTCTGTACGCTCGTAAGAGAATGGAATCAATCCATCAAAAGCTTTATATTTTAAATTTAGAACCATGAAGCTCATTGCAACTTCAATGACCAACTGTATACCAGACCCCATGACCAAAATAGTGCTAGAATCAGAGTGCCTCATTTGTAAAGAAAGTTTTCACCGTTTTCGAATACCAACTTGTGTGATTTGCTTCAGGATGTGAAGGTTGTCATGACAGTTAAACAAGTAATTTTGTGCAAAGCGAATTAAAAAAGGTATAGATGCCAACGGAAGCGGGACTTTAAAGGACCAAATAAACGTTAACGTAGAGTCAAACGCCATAAAACGATAGAGCATCTGTAAGTCATGCATTTTGGCGATTTTGAAATTCCATGTCTCGTAAATTTGGCAAGCTAGGCCGCATCCAGTCCGTTTTACCAAGGTCAAAAAAAATAAATGACAAAACGACTGCTGAAGAAGGAAATTTCATTCCCTCATTGAAGACATAGACGCCATAAAACACTTTAATGTGCTGTGGATATTAGACATTCCGACGCTTCTGTGAGACGAATGACGGAATACTCATTGAAGATTTTGAGCTTCTACCAAGTTCTTACCGACTTTCCCCTTGAGTCTAGTCCACAGTCCTTTAATTTTTCGGTTTGAAGTGTATAACATTTAGGAACATTCCCGTTTTTATTGTTTTACCCTTAAGTAAAATATGGGCAATTTATTGCACCTTTTCCCCAAGCTATCGGATGGAATGGTTTTAAGCCAGTATCACTGAAATTGAAGAGTTCTTCGGTGAAAAGGCGAATTATTCCTTTCGCCTTGCACGAACCCCTTTTGATCAACTAGTAGAGAAGGAGATGTTTGTACTCGTGTGTAAAAAAAGATACTGGCTGATGACCTGCGACACTTGGCGACGTATGCATGTTGATTACTGCAAACCCCCTTGGAAAAATGCTTTGCCTTTGTTATTTTCGACCCTTACTCAAGTGACTGGGGTATATACCTCACTACTTCCCCTGCTGTGGTTTTTGCTCTTAAAGCATTCTGCACGCAAATTAGCTAAGAAAGAGTACCACGCTTAATGGTAAATGCGCATAACCCAATTCACTGAACGAAGGTAAGAGCTTGACTAAAAACTATTCGTAACTAATACACTTTGACGGGGCCTAAATAGTTGCAATCCATTGGTGTCATCAAATTTGTCGCCCCATGCGATTTTGCGGAAGTGGTGTGTGACATTTGCAACTCCCCCATACAGTACCGCGATGCTTTGGACTCAGCAAAAGACTCTCACCATAAAGGGAGCGATTTTAGACTATTTAAGCACATGGACATTCGCATGCGCCATTCGCCAGACTTAAAAACTGATTCCGTCCAGCGACAACAAAGTAATCAAAGTGGACATAACTTGGCCATTCCTGATCCTCCTGGTTCAAGTACCAAAATTGTTGTGTATTCTACACCTGCTGCAGAAGTCAGGACTTCGGTTGAAAAGCAGCATCTGGGATCATCAAGAAGATCCAGCTCGAAGCATCAACATGTGTGAGAATTCCGGTATTAGCTTAAACCCAGGGAAATGTGGTGATTGCCATGATGCTTATTTCCTTCCATTAGTCCCATTTTATTGGATCAAAATTCTTGTATACTTAAGTGTGCTGAAGAACCAATTTACCTACAGTCAGGTTGATTCCTTTATTCATATTTCGGTAAACTAGTTCTGGATTTGATGTTCAATTAGTGCTATTGTTACTGTTATTGGTAATACTGCTATTAGGTTCAATAAATGTTGATATTGTAGCGTCCTGAGACTTTCATGAAGACGAAAGAAGACATAATGCTAGGGTAGAGTACATATACTCAACATACAGAAGGTATTTGGGCTACTGCCTTGGCCCGAAGGCCAGACCACCTGGCGTGGTAGCATGTCCAAGTCAAAAGTGGTTCCTCACCCAAACTGAGGGTCAAACAACCATTGTATTACACTATTACGCAAAACAACATGATTGTTTATGTGCATTTTACACAACAATGTAGAACTCCAAAGCTGGCAAATACGGTTTTAAAGGAATTTTCACGCAGAACGGGGGGAACATAATCTTTATCAACACGGCAAATTTAGGGTGCCTAATTAAGTATTAATACTATTGGGAAACAGAACAAATTTACTTTACAATTACGAAAGAATAAATTTGAGGTTCATTCCATGAATTTACTGCCAAAATAATTACATTACTATGGGCGCATTAGTGAAGGAGTGAATTCGAAATGTGCGAAGTGTGAGAAAAAATATAAATGCAAATAAATAAGCAAAAATACGCATTTACATTAACGTACACTATGCTGTTTGCAGCAACTTTAGCCTAAAGGGAAACGCCAAAATGACTACTTAATATTTTGCTTAACTGTTAGTTTGGATAGGCGTTCCCTTTAACCCCCGAGGGCCGAACCTCTGATAGGCATGGGGGCGATTGGTGATTCCGAACCCTGCTGCGTCAACAATCGATCATTACGCATTATGGTTTGGCTAATTGTTCCGGCAGAGGGGGGAACAGGATGTAGTAACTGGCATGGGAGAGCTCGGATCGTCTGCCGTAATGTGTTTGTGTTTGACGGTGGTGGCGCAGGTGGAGACAAGCGGCGGGGTACACCTAGGCTGCGAAGTCTGCTTTGAGCTACTTAAAGCCGAAAAATAACTTTTATGAACGCAACATATATGTAATTTATTTTCATCAAATGGACACCTATTCTTTAGGACATTTGTTGCCAGCCTCGGAGTATAATTTAAGTCAGAATAGCAAGTTGTTGGCTATTAAATAACGAGTTAAACACTTGCACAAATATGTGCTGCTTTAAATTTGTCAAAGTAGTTCCTAAGGTAAGTGAAAAGTTTAAAAAAGGAACTAAAAACAAAATTTTGTTTTAATTATTATTAATTAAAAGCCAGCTTTCAAAATATGGCGGCGGCCCCGATGTTAATGATTAAGTGCTAATAATTATTCTGGAAATATGGCAAATGTAGAACCGAATACTTTAGCAGGATTGAGAAGGGTTTTTAACAAACCTGATCTCGATGTTAATAAGTGTCAGTTTTTTTAACTAAGTGGTATATATTACACTGGTTTATCGCTCTTTCATATCCTTCAAAAAATCGAGCCGTATTTTGTTATGCACTTTTTTCGTTCAGACTCTTTGTTTTTTGGAAACAGTTGTATCTAAAATTTCGAAGAATGGTAGTGCTGAGATTTTTCAAACCATTACGGACTTGAACCGCATGAAGGATGAGGCTTCAACTCAGATGAAAAAGGCCATCTTTAGCAACTTTGAACTTTTCATCGACGCCAGTAAAGCCGTGACAGTAATTGCTGCCATGATGCATCAATTGGACCATCAGTTGGTTGAACAAAAACGTCTCTGTTCTGCTTTGGCCGAAAAATCCCTCTTCCGAGATGGTAAGCAGACCAGTAACTCTTAACTATCGGTGCGCTTTGTAGAAAAACTCCTAAGCGATAAGTCGAACCGACCCTCCAAAATGGACAGTGGCATCTCTTCCCTCTTGAACTCAGTCGACGGTGTCTCAGTAGGTCGTTTTTCGCCAAATTTGATTCACCTTCTCTTAGAATTTAGTCAAAGACTCGGCTAGACAACTCCTTTTTGACACAGATGCTATTGAGATCAATCCTACTACTTACGTAAAACAGGGTTATATTCACCTCTTCGTTTTAAGCGACTATATTCTCATCACCAAAAAACAATTCGACTCGTGAGTTTTTTAGCGTAATATTGACCTGTTTGCACTTCTCCGCTAAGTAAATGAATAGAAGATCATTAATAATTCCACTTCTTCTAGCTACGAGATGTGTCGCTTTAAGAAGCAGGCCCTTTATGAAATCGAGAACGTGGTGGTGGTTGACGTAAAGACTACCGATTCGTCAAAGGCTGCCTTCAACCTCGTGCAACTTCTCGTCTTTCCTGACAGCTATGTCTTCCAAATGGAGTCAATTAAAGTGAAGCGAGCGCTTATTTCTACCATCGACGAGGCAAAGCGACTCCACCTCATCGGCGCAGCCGTGGATGAGGCGGATTCGGGGACACAGGGAGAGGTAAAGGTGGACGGTGGCCGTGGTGCCTCCACATTCTTCGGTGGTCCTGACGCAGATACACCGTGCTGCTCGACGATTGTGGACACCTCGCCTGAGGTGGACACGCTGTGTTTCGAAGCGCTGGCAGGGACGGTTCCCGAGATTGCAGATTTTATTAGACGCGAACGGCCATCGACTGGGACCACTAACACGGCTCGTGTTAATCGTGAGTACTACGTCGCTCTTTTGCATTGATAAGAAAGTGATAGTATTTCATCATTAGGTAAGGGATGCCCATTTTCCTTTAGTGTTTAGTGGCAGGGTTCGCATCACGTGAACGTTTGACTTACTCCTTTTTGTTTTCTCTACATCCTTATATTTTTGGATCCCTGAATTATAAATGATGTTTTCATATTCAACTTCATTAATTGCTTTGGTTTATGCATCTTTTTTTGAAGTGATGATGGCGGACCCAAACTTTTGCATTACTTTTGACTGCGTCCTTGTCTTATGCAGAGCAGACGGCAGCTTGAAACGTTAACTATTTGACTTGAGCGTGACTAGTGAGCGTATGCGCAGTGCGTTAACCGATAATTTAGGCAACAAGTTCCATGCTAGCAGTTTTAATCTCAAAGAGGAGTTAGTTGTGTGGATGATCTAATATAACGTCAAGAGTATTGTGATTATCTGATAACAGATTTAACAAGAGCCATTAATTCATCTTCGACTGTTAATAGTATTGTTATATAATTAGATGTGACACGTTCAATTTCCTTCGATGTTGGTTTTTGACAACTATAACCAATCCTTTTTTCACATTGACTCCAATTTATCAGTGTTTTTGGATGTACATAGCTACTTCTGATGGAATTTCCTTGCATGTATCGTTAGAAGTGTCTATTTGAGCTAAATCACTACTGTTCATGAAATTATTTGTTGCTTTTAAGTGTCTCAACACACCATTTCTGTAACTATTTAGCGGATACCGGTAAGTGCATTTGTGGTGTGGTTTCTAAGCTAATATCCCGTGTTTTCCATAAAATTCACCTAACGCTATTAATCATCAATAGTTCTTTTGTAAAAGTCATAATAACGCTTGTAAATGTTGTCGTGACGAGTCAAATTGACTTCATTTATCTGCACTAAGTTTTATTTAGGCTCTTCTGTCGAGTCTGCTTTATTCTACAATTCGGTTTGGGTAATCACCTGTTTCATTGCTAATTCCCTAATTCATGCCTAGAACTTGTGATTATGCCATTGTGTGACTACACGAATCGCACATCCTTCAACTTTTCATTCGCTTGATCTTATATAGTTGCTTTGCTATCAATAAGTAAATGAAATTGAAATAACATTATAGATCTAGAAGGGCCTCTTGATTACGATGCCCTGGGTAAGCAAAAATGGAATTTTTTTGACTTCTCTTTTTTCCCACTTCCAGTCGTTCACAGAAATGATTGAATGTGGTGCTACACTGACTCTCTGATGATGTGACCCTTACTGCACCAACTTATTGTGCGTTGGCGTTTTTTGAAGTGTCATAACCACTTTAGCTCCTTTTTCTAATCAAATAAAAGTTTTTGTCAGTTTGCATGCCGTAAAACTTCATTAAAGATAAGGGGATGCATTATGCTAGTTGTTTCTGCCTATTGCTTCGGCGCATTAAAATGAATTTCACGCTCTTTTGATTGTGTAATTTGTTGGAGAAAGGAGTTTTGGGGCAGTGTTTATCCATTCGATCGAAACCTTGCTTTCATGCATCCTTTCTGTATCTACTTATGCATTGGTTTGATGTGCGCACCTAGTCATTACAAGCAGTTTTTTCTATGCGATACATGATCACGTATGTTGCAATCTCACAACTTATCTAGTTCTTCTGGGTAGCCATTTGAGTGTAGTGTTTTATTCTCAGCGATCATACCTTTTCCGTAGACTATACGTGTAGCTTTGTATCTGATTTACCCCGGTCGATGTAAGGCATATAAGTTTGTAACAAGCCTTATTCGCGTACAGAAGGGCCGAAATGCATGGATGGAGCTTCATACCATTGTCGTGGAGGAAGAATGGTGGGGAACCGAGTAGTCTATGCATCCGCATATATAAAACACACAGTATTTTATTGTAGTTCACTGAAGTTTTGCTAGTGATGTACTCCAAAATGGACTTTTCCCACTTGATTTGGTCGACTTTATTAAAATATTTGAATACAACTGCAAAAAAGCTCGCACTACAAGATATGTACTTTTATTAGTAGAATAGCTGCACAGATTCACTGCACATGACCTCAGCTACTTAATTACTACCATTTTATACAACTGGTTTGATCTGCCCTATTAATATGATTTTATAACTCATACGTTTAACTACTCTTACCATTTCACACTAGTTAGAAAGATTATTTTAATCTCTGCAAGCTACTATGGCCATATCTAGCTGATTAGATTCGTTGCATTGAGATTTGGGTATTATTGCCACTCTCAAAACTGACATAACTAGTGGTTGCAACTCAATTGCGTCACTTGCTTTTGTACGCCTATCGTATCGCGTTCTTTTCACAACTTATTCTGCCCTTGCTCATATGCGCATGGCCTAACACTATCAAGACGTAAGCGTAAAAATGTACCTTTATTTCAGTCAGGTGAGTTAACCGGATCCCTCTTAGTGCCCTTTCCATACCATCGGATTTTTGTTGTGAGTGGCTCCGCTCTCACATGTAGGCGCCTCTAGCTAATTATTGCCAAAGTCATACTAACACAACCACGTGTTGCGTACCGCGATCATGCAGTCGGAGGATCTTTTGTTTTTACTAAACCATCGTATCTTAACAAATGACTATCCTAACTCGCACACTCACATATATACTTTTAAAACTAATTATTTGGTGGAACTGAATTGGTCTCTCCTCATACGTACTTGTTGTATAAAAGCACCCAACCATCTACATGATTTACAACAATACAGCCTGTGCTGCATCCTGAGGCTATATCGTTGAAACCATGGTTCTAGCACAGCCAATTTGGTCAATTTTCCAAGTTTTTACTTCCTTTCACGTCGATCGTACCG